GTTGATTTGCGTAGAAATTTAAAAAAAAAAAAAAAAATTTAAAAGTAAACCTCAGTTAATTACAACATGGTACAGACCACCAAATTCCAGCGTTGAGCTGTTTAGCGAATTTGAAAATTTTTTAAAACTACTTGAGGACGAAAATAAAGAAATTATCATAACCGGAGATCTCAATTGTAACATTCTTGAGCAGAACACGTAGTAGTGTCCCACGAGAATTACTAGTACAACAGCATCACTACTGGATGTTATCCTCACTTATTATGGTGATGATAAAATATTAGATACAGGAGTAATACACCTTGGTATCAGTGATCATAGTCTTGTTTATCTGTGTCGAAAGCTCAGCGTTCCTAAGGCGCCACCAAAAACTGTCTTTACTAGACATTATAAAAATTATAATGTTAACCAGTTTAACAACGATCTAAGTGAGGTTTTTAGTTTGCCCTTGGATTCAGCTATTTTAACTGACCCAAATGCCTTATGGAACGATTTTAAAAATAAGTTTTTGAGCGCCGCAGATAAACATGCACCAATCAGACAACGTCGTGTCAAGAGTGAATATAAACCGTGGCTGACAAATGAAATTAAGCAAATGAGCTATCGTAGGGATTACCTTAAAAAGCAATCGATTAAATTAAGATCTGCGTATTATGATAAGGCTTACAAGAGATGTAAAACAAGTTAAATAATCTCATAAAAGAAACTAAACAAGAATACTTTAGAGATAAACTAAGCAATGCTAAAAATAGCAAAGAAAGTTGGCGAACTATTAACGAATTATTAAACAAAAAGCCTAAAACTTCAGAGGTTAAAGAACTAGATATAAATGGCCAACTTATTACTGATGATGATAAAATTGCAGATACCTTCAATCAATATTTTTCCACAATTGGCAGTACGTTGTCTGACAAGATCACAGGTAACTGCACTGATCCAATGAACTTTGTGACTCCTCTTGATGGTAGTATATTCAACTTTACAAGCATTACACTCCAAGAAACAATAGATGCACTCAATGAAATTAAAACTAAGAAATCTCCAGGGCTTGATGGTATTAGTATAAGGATACTAAAAGATGCATCTAACATTGTGGCAGGACCACTAGTGAACATATTCAATGTATCCCTTCAAAGAGCAATTTTCCCTAATGATTGGAAATTAGCAAAGGTGACCCCCATATTTAAAGAAGGAAATAAGGCAGACTGTGAAAATTATAGGCCAATATCTGTTATTTCAGCTGTAGCTAAACTTTTCGAAAAACTGGTATACCTGCAGCTAGGTTCATTCTTGAGGTTGAATGGCATTCTTGTGGAACAGCAGTCTGGCTTCCGTCATCAACATTCTACTGAAACTGCACTGCTTAGTTCTACAAATGAATGGTTGTTCAATATGGACAGAGGTTTACTTAGCGGAGTTTTATTTCTAGACCTTAAAAAAGCTTTTGATACTGTCGACCATCATATTCTTTTATCAAAGCTTGAATTATATGGTATTAAAGGAACTTGCCTGAAATGGTTCGAATCATACGTTTCTGGTCGAAGCCAAATATGCTCTGTGAATAGCAAGATGTCCGCTGTTAGACAAATAAAATGCGGGATACCTCAGGGCTCTAACCTTGGGCCTATTTTATTCCTATTGTACATAAATGATCTTCCTAACTGTTTAGAGACAACTAAGGCAAATCTTTTTGCTGATGACACAAGCCTTTCTTGTGAAGGGTTTAGTCCATATGAAATTGAGATCAAACTTAATAAAGACATTGAAAATGTTCATAGGTGGTTGACAGCTAACAAGCTCTCATTAAATATGAAAAAGAGTGAATTTATGATAATAGGATCAAGACGTCGCTTAGCTTCAATTGAAAATAGCCCAGTACTAACATTAGGGGGAAACAACATTAAGCGAGTTTATCAAAAAAAGTCACTAGGCATGATCCTTGACGACCAGCTAAAATGGAATAAACATAATGAAATGCAATGTAAAACAATTTCAAATAATATCGCCCTGCTGAAAAGAGCAAAATTGTTTGTCAATAGAGATAGTCTGATAAAAATCTACAATGCCTTAGTGTGGCCTCACTTCAATTATTGTTCAACAATCTGGAATGATGGATGTTGTTCGATAATCGATAAATTGTTTATACTGCAGAAGAGAGCAGCGCGTGTGATAACAGGGGACACATACGAGGTTCGTTCCATGCAAACGCTAGATAGTCTTAATTGGCTTCCAATAGAAGAACTTCTAAAACAACGACAGTTAATAATGACATTTAAAGTACTAACTGGTCGATTACCTCGATACCTTGAAAAATTGTTTTCAGTAAGTCAAAATGACAATTACAATCTAAGAAGCAATCAAATTAAATTGAACCTACCCAAACCTAAGACAAATTTTCTCAAACGAAGTTTCTCCTATAGAGCTGCTAAGTCCTGGAACGAACTTCCAAGTGAAACTATTGAAAATTATAACAATCTTTCAATTTTGTCGTTTAAACGGCAATTACTTAATTCATCCGTATCAATTCATTGTAAATAGTTATATTTTTTTTGTCCTTTTTATATTATTGTTGTAAACACACGGCCCTTTGAAAACCAGCGCTGTAAATATTATCTGCTGAACAGGCCACCGTGTTTAAATAATTTTATTAAAGATTAAAGATTAAAGATTCGTCGACTATTCGCGGACTATTCGCACTATTCGTCGACTATTCGCGGACTATTCGCACTATTCGTACTATTCGTCGACTATTCGCACTATTCGCTTCACTATTCTAGTTTTATCAATTGCCCAATGTTGCACGATAATTATAATAACGGCTAGCTTATTGACCTCGAGCGTGAAGTCTGTACTGTGAAATATCAGACCATGGTTTTTTAGTATGGACCGAGCGACGAAGGTGCAAGGTCCATGCAAAAAACAGAGGTCTGATATTTCACAGTATAGACCGAACAAGCGAGGTCGATAATCGGTTTATTATGTGGCTGAACTGAGTCTGTGAGCATATGCTTTAATTTCGCGCGAATTAAGTCGGCTATCGTCAGTTTCACTGGGTAACAATATATACGGTAGGCATGCATGCTCATTCAAAAACCATTTGGTTGTTTGAAATTTTTATCTGTAAATTTTAATGACACACAATTGGCAAAATTGAAAAGCAAAAATTTTTTCTGTTTGCAAAGCAAAAATTTCCCGCCAGATAAACGACATCCGGAACACCGGTCTAGATACGGAAAATACGGACCACGGTCCGGATATGGGTTTTTACAGACCGCTTGTCAACCAATCAGAATAGAGAATTTTGAAAAGCCATATTATAATACAGGTTATTATAAGCCTTCGCTCAAACACAGAGTAAATACATATACAGAGTTATAACTAGTGTAACTAGATGCATGCATCCCATTGGATGGGGACTCGCTTTAACTGCTTGCGGAACTTGCCGAGCACACGCAGTTGATCATCTTTGCCCGGTCGCCTGAAAAAAAGTGGGTACATGAAAACGTAAGTTTCCGTAGTGTTTACAACGGCCAGTTCCAGCTCTGTATGTATCTACTCTGTGGCTCAAAGGTGACAGAATGGCTTTGTTATTGGCAAAATTTCAATGTCAAAAAAACTGAACAACTTTATTCGTTACTTTGGCCACAAAAATATCACTCAACGGGATTAACGCAGTGAACTCTATAAATACTGGAACGATAACTCGGGCTGTGTTTTTGAAGCCAAGATGGCCGAATTCGGAAGCTCGTCTTGTAGGTATGAACCAGGCCCCTACACGGATATTCATTAAATTCAGTAAAGAAAAAATATCTATGTGGGATTTGAAAAGAAAACAGAATAAAATGGACTGCATTTGCATCAATCTTATCTTTTTGTTTAGTTTTTGGCTTTTAGGTAATAGGTAAATTTTTTTAGTTCTAAAAATGAGCATTTTCGTGCAAAAATTGAAAGGCATCGATCGGAAAACTTTAGTCATTTTTCAGCTCCCACGAAGCCCACGCGAAAAACACGCGTGTTTTATATCTACAACAACAGGTGGGAAAATTGTCTGAGTATGCAATGCGCGAAAACTGCTCGGGTTTTCAGCGAGAGAACAATATATATGCGTGCTTCAACTTGGTTGATTTAAAAACATAAACAACATGAACAAAGCCTTCGAAAAACAATTTTGCAGTGGCTGTTTATAGGGCCACAAATGACAAATCACCGCAAAAATTGGATTAACTGACAAAAAATGTTGCAGTAATACTTTGATTTCTTCCTTTGCCACAATTTTTAAAATGTAAAACTGTTATTAGATATCGATTATTTCAGTGCAAAACAAAACAGAGCAAAAAATGTCCTTTTTTTATCCTTTTAAACACTTCAGTCTACATTTTTACAACGCCAAGAAATTTAACACCGACTTAAAAATGCTTTAAAATTTAATGTAAAACAGCGACATTTTGTTGGCACAACCTGTAACATGACAAAATGCGTGTTTCTAGAATTTTGAACGAGCGAAATTGTGTTTAAAAATAATACAAAGTTCACGCTTTGAAATGAGGGTCATGGAAAAACCTGATTGCTACGTTTATCTGTTTTTTAAATACTTTGAAAACCTAAAAATAATATTTTAAAACTATTATAGCAAAATACAGGGCAAACTGTTTAATCCTGATTTCTGATGATCATTTCGAGTCGCCTTTTTCGTACAAATTACACTTGCACATGAAATTCGCCAAAATTCAATATTTTCTTCATTTTTTATAGGCGACTTTTCATTCTAATGGCAAAAACTAGAAAGAAAAGCGCATCTTCTGATCTAATAACATTTTGTTGGCACCAACGTACATATATATGAGAAAATTAAGGTGAAGAACAAGCAATTTTAGCAAAAGACCGCTCACATACTGAAATTTGACGATGATCGTTGGGGCACAGTATCACTTAAAAAACAAATATTTATACTTTGTTCTGGACAACAAACACATGTAATACTAATTTGAAGTAATATCCCATCAATATTACTCTCCTGCTCGAGATTATTTGCCATCAAAACCGCACACTTTGCAAGAAACTTCATTTTCGCCCATGTTTCAGCGAATAATTCATGACTGCTAATTTCCCGATTGCGACAAATAATTGTGGTATTGAT